GGAAAGTGAAAGACGCGGGTCGATTCCCGCTTCAGCGACTTTTCGGACCTTATTTTTCTCGCTTATTTCTCCATATGTAAGTTTCGAAATTAATTTATACGTGGAAACTTGGGATCTCAAATTGAGATACAGTTCCGTTATTAAATTTTTTCGTTTAGTTTCCTTGGCTCTATTGCCAAGCTTAGAAGACAGCAGACTTATATTATTTATATGGAGACCGATCTTAAAAATTTATTTCTGAGTGTATTCTAATATGTATTCCAATATTTTCAATTTTCTTCTCTCTAATTAATTTATTTATAATAAAAAACACATTTGAATGTAATCGTAAAAACATTGTGAAATGGTTACCTAGTGGAAGGCAGAAATGTTCTCAGAAGAAAAACTGTTGGTTACACTTCGTTGTATTACCCAAACTCCTGCAATATTTACATTTGATAATAATTTTGATTATAATATATATTGTATATATGGACACACAAAATGTTATGAATAAGGAAGTTTCTTTATGTAGTGACATACATATTAACATAACATACTAATGATTGTGAGTGGTTATTAACACATTAGCATGAGAAATTAATTTATAAATATACAATTTGCATATATAATATAAAGATATAATAAATTTTAAATAAAAAGTATTTTTTCAACCTATAGAAATATATATGACTAATGATGATTAATTTGACTGAAATTACTTTTATTATGTGATTATACTAGAATTGGTAGAAAAAAATTCTTCACGGGAGTCAGTTATATTAAAGTAAATGTAAAGCAGGAAATTAAGATTTTTTAAAGACATAATATGATACGTTGAAATAAACACAATTGAATGTCTATGTAAAAAAACCTTGTGAAATGGTTACCTAGTTGATGCAGAAAATGTTCTCCATTAAAGGAAACGTATTGTTACACTTCGTTATATTACCAAACTTCCTGCAATATTTACATTGATAATAATTTTGAATTATAAATATATTGTATATGTTACAACACATTTTATTATAACAGATTATACATTTATTATGTTAGAACAAAGTAGAAAAGATTAGAGAAATATG